GCAGGAGTTTGTACATCGCACCGCAAGCGCAACGCCTCAGTGTGAAAACATACATAGACGTACATTCACATACACAGAGAAGCATTTTTCTTGAGCTTTTCAGGCGCTTTTTGTAACGCAAAAACGCTCCAAAAACTCTTCGGTGTGAAAGTAGCCTTAGGCCCTCAAGCCGCATGAAAGTCAGACCAAAGTAATGCAGGAACTACTTTCAAGCCGCTGCGACTTGAAGTCGCACAGATATGAATGGTACTCATTGGGAAACATGGCAGTTGCGACTTGTCATGCGACTTTGGATGCCAGTGTGAACGGGCTCTAATTGACGTGAAGGGGAAGGTGTGAAGTTTCCTTGACTGCATCATTTTAGCTATTTTTGGTGTTGCTTTCACAGATGTAAAGTGGTAGTAAAGTCATTTTTTTTCTCTTGTACCTACAGGTAATCCTATAATAAGACTTACCTGTAAGTACAATACATATCTCCTGAATGTACACCATTTAGGAGATATTTACTTTATCAGCGCCGATGAGGTCACCGACCTATGCGCAGTGCACTCTCAGTGGACGGCGTGCCATCTATTGGCCAGTTCAGCTCTGAGGAAGAGGTACAGCCTCGAAATGCATCAGCCATTAAGAAGTCTACAGTCCCCCACCAGACATCATTCTTTGTATGCAGTTCTTTTGGATTTTCCTGATCTGTTGAGGGCAGCAAGGCTCACATTCCTTAACCCCTTTCCGCCGGCGCCTCCCGGCCCTTTAAGAGTTTCAGAAGCCGAGAGGCAGGGCAGGCGGGGTTTAGGGATCATGTGACCGCCGTGTTGCGTCGTCACGGCGGTCACATGATCGGGAAAGGTCCCGATCGAAAGAGCAGACCAGGACCTTTCGTGAGTACCAGACATGTGTGTTGGAGCGAGCAGGGTGCGCGCTCTCAGCACATATGTTTTTTGTTAATTGCACGCAAATGTGCGGCCGCTCGGCGTCTAGGCCCAGATGCCGGCGTGAAGAGGTTAAATACTCCATGTGGGGCTACAGACATTGTGGAGTCCATTATCCAGTGCAGGAATTTAGGCATTCGGTTGCTTTTTTCTTCTTATCTACAGTTGCAAGAAATCCCAAGAATATTGCTACACTGAAACAGTTTTGTGAAGAGGAGTGGTCCAAAATGACTCCAGATCATTGTGCAGGTCTGATCTGCAACTACAGGAAATGTTTGGTTGAGGTTATTGCTGCCAAAGGAGGGTCAACCAGTTATTAAGTCCAAAGGTTCACATACTTTTTCCTCCCTGCACTGTGAATGTTTACATGTTATGTGCAATTAAACCATGGCAACATCTAATGTTTGTGTAGTATTATGTTCAGCAGACTGTGTTCTTCAATTGTTGTGACTTAGATGACGTTCAGAGCACATTTTATGCCCAATTCATGCAAAACTCCACGTAATCCCAAGGGGTTCACATACTTTTTCTTGCAACTGTATTGGGCAGAGGCTGTGGGATTGGGAACATGCTACATGTGCCGCCCTAAAAACAGGTAAAACATGTAACATGTTCCCAAAGGTGAACTTATACCAGGGGTGGACTGACAACTCATGGGGCCCCCGGGCAACAGGGGATCATGGGGCCCCTGTGTGCTCGTCCAAGCCAAACCAGACCCAAAAAAGCCCTGTTTTGCGTGGGCATGAGAGCCCATTCATTTAAATGGACTCCCGTGCCTGTGACACGCAGGAAAAGAAGTCCCTGCACTTCTTTGGAAAACGCAGCCCACACGGGAACCTCGATTCCCAGTACGGTTTCGTTTTCCAGTGCAGGCGGCGTGCCATTAGAACTAATGGCACCCGCCCGCGGGTCCGCAATTCTCTGTGTGGGTGGAGCAGCTGCACGGATTTTCGTGCGGATCTGCAGCGGCACCTCCCGCACAGATGTGAACCTAGGGTAAAGAGGGTTCATGCACTACTTTCATGCGACTTGAGTGCCATAGACAGCATTGTAAACTCCCAAAAGTCGCGTGAAAGTTGCATCTTAACATTATCAATGTGACAGTCGTGCAACAGTTAAAGCCAAAGTTGCATCCAAGTCACACCCATCCAAAGTTTCATCAAAGCTGCAATGGAACGGCACAAGTGTGAATCAGGGGTGGACTGACAACTCATGGGGACATCGGGCAATAGGGGGTCATGGGGCCCCTGTGTCCTGGCCCACACCCAAAAAAAGCTTATGAAAAAGCCAATGAAAGGTACCAGGGGCATCTCATGGGGCCCCCTACTGACCCCGGGCCCTCGGGCAGTGCCAACTCATGGGGCCCCCGGGCAATAGGGGGTCATGGGGCCCCTGTGTCCTTGCCCACACCCAAAAAATGCTTATGAAAAAGCCAATGAAAGGTACCAGGGGCATCTCATGGGGCCCCCTACTGACCCTGGGCCCTCGGGCAGTGCCAAATCATGGGGCCCCTGGGCAATAGGGGGTCATGGGACCTCTGTGTCCTGGCCCACACCCAAAAAAAGCTTATGAAAAAGCCAATGAAAGGTACCAGGGGCATCTCATGGGGCCCCCTACTGACCCCGGGCCCTCAGGCAGTGCTCGAGTGCTTAAATGGTCAGGCCGCCCCTGGTGTGAATAGAGATTAAGACCTGATTCAAATATATGCAGTGCGGGAAATTCTGCAAATCCTGAGCCTTTCCCACACCGCATTGAATCACACTCCGTTCATGTGATCTGCCACTGGTGTCAATGCTAAATTAATGACACCAAATACAGATCACAAAACGCAGAGTGATTGGAATCAGATCGCCTATGCGCCTATGCGATTTGATTCCAGTGTGGCAAAAAAAGGTTTCTGCACCTTTTTCTAGCGAGTGCGGTGCAAACTGAGCACATACAAAATAAACGGGCTCAAATCGCACTGCAAAGAATCGCATGTTATTTGAACAGGAATGCGGTACAATTCCTATCCAAATCGCATGAGATTTCGCACACCGCTATAGTGTGAATCCACTCTAAATCAGCTAAATGCATTCCTGGGCATCAGAATAAGAGGTGTGCAGAGTTATTGTTCATTTTCTTTAGAAAGCAGCCACAGCCTAGGTAGAAAAGCCTATCCCCTGTCAGCACGCTGTAGTGAAGAACCTTGGCTCTCTCTGTGGAAGCAGTGGTATCTCTGCAGTGGTCTCTCTACAGTGGTCTCTTTACAGTGGTCTCTCTGCAGTGGTCTTTCTACAGTGGTCTCTTTACAGTGGTCTCTTTACAGTGGTCTCTCTGCAGTGGTCTTTCTACAGTGGTCTCTTTACAGTGGTCTCTCTGCAGTTCTTTCTACAGTGGTCTCTTTACAAAGGTCTCTCTGCAGTGGTCTTTCTACAGTGGTCTCTTTACAGTGGTCTCTCTGCAGTGGTCTCTCTGCAGTGGTCTTTCTACAGTGGTCTCTTTACAGTGGTCTCTCTGCAGTGGTCTTTCTACAGTGGTCTCTTTACAGTGGTGGTCTTTCTACAGTGGTCTCTTTACAGTGGTCTCTCTTCAGTGGTCAGTGTGGTCTCTTTACAGTGGTCTCTTTACAGTGGTCAGTGGTCTCTCTACAGTGGTCTCTCTGCAGTGGTCTCTCTGCAGTGGTCTCTCTGCAGTGGTCTCTCTGCCGTGGTCTGACACATCCCCTCTGCTGCTGAGTCAGAGTTAAAGCTCTTCAATTATCAGGGAGCATGGGTTTTGCTGATTGTATAGCTATAGCTCTGGGTGAGCAGAAGGGATTTTGGAACTCTGCTTCTATAGAGAGAATCAATGCTCTTCCCTACAGCATGCCAGCGGGGGACAGGCTTTTCTACTCAAGTTGTGGTTTCTTTCTCTAAAGAAAACAAAATGTGGGACTTTGCACACCTTGTATGTTGATGCACTTGGAATGCATTTAGCCAATTTTAACTGCAAAGGTCCTGTGGACTCCAAGTTACCTACAGACTTTAGTTGGGAGGCCCTCTGTGAACATACCACCTGCACGTCCAATGCCCTTTCTAATGAAACAATGTTGCATGAACAAGCACATTAGCATTAGGTAGAAGTGCATGTTTTACCATCAGAAGGGGGATGACTTGGCCACCAGATTTTCTTGGAGAATCACGATCAGGCTGCATGACTGCACTGATCCCAGAGGGATTGCCAAGGCTTGGTCGGAGATGCTGGGAAGCATATAACTCTTCCCCAATCCAACCATGACATTTTCTTATATCGGACAGCCACTTTTGGCGATTTAGCATCATGACATGTTGTTGGTTTCATTGTGTTGCATATTTTTTTGCCTTCTTTAACTGGAAAAATACACTGGAACAAATCTTCAGCTTTACATTGGGAGTTTATGTTGCCATAAACTCTTCATGCTGGTACATTGATAGAAGCTAATCCAGTTGCTTATTCATTGCATTAGGATTATGTTTTATTAGTGGAGGTTTTAGCTATAAAGGGCTTAGTATAAGCTGTCTAAGTAAAAGATGGCCAAAGCTTGATACATCAGAGGATGGTGGTTTTCGCCATCTTTAGAGGTCTACATGGCTGGCTTCCTGCATAAGAATCAGAGCACGGCTCCACCAAGGGATTGCGTTCATGCCTAGGGAATGGCCAAGGGAAGTCACAGATACACATCTGCAACATCTTCAGGTAAATAACAGACGTTTCCCTGACCAATACTTAAGAAATGTTGGCCAAGGTGGCAGCCATGACTTTGTTGCCCATCAGCAAAGCGGCTAAATGCCATCTCAGGTTATAACCTACACAATTAATATGATTTCCTAGAATGGTCATGTTGGAAGGCAACTGCAGAAAATTGTTGAACAATTGCTGTAAGATTAGTATTGTCATCCCATTCATACCACAGCTTTAAAAAAATTCCCTGTATATCTAAAACTTTAAAGAGGACTTCCAGGTATGGATATTTTATTCCACGTTACATAGATCCAGCTCAGACCATTGTAACTATGTATATACCATTCCTGGCTGATGCACCTGGAAGTTGGAAAGCAGTGAATTAGACAGGCAAGGGCCATTCTTCACACTGACCACCAATGCTGGGGCCATTCTTCCCACTGACCACCAATGCAAGGGCCATTCTTTCCAATGACCACCAATGCAAGGGCCATTCTTCCCACTGACCACCAATGCAAGGGACATTCTTCCCACTGACCACCAATGCAAGGGACATTCTTTCCAATGACCACCAATGCAAGGGACATTATTTCCAATGACCACCAATGCAAGGGACATTATTTCCAATGACCACCAATGCAAGGGGTATTCTCCCCACTGACCTCTAATGCAAGGGCCATTCTTCACACTGACCTCCAATGCAAAAGGCATGTTTCCCAAGGACCTCCAGTACAAGGTTTATTCTTCCCGCAGACCACCAATGCTAGTGGCATTCTTCTCACTGACTTACAAAGCAAGGGGCATTATTCCCACTGGCCATCAATGTAAGCAGCATACTTACCGCTGATCACCAATGCAAGAGGCATTCTTCCCACCGACCACCAATGCAAGGGGCATTCTTCCCACTGACCACCAATGCAAGGGGCATTCTTCCCACTGACCACCAATGCAAGGGGCATTCTTCCCACTGACCTCTAATGCAAAAGGCATGTTTCCCAATGACCTCCAGTGCAAGGGACATTCTTCCCACTGACCTCCAAAGCAAGGGGCATTCTTCCTACTGACCTCCAAAGCAAGGGGCATTCTTCCTACTGACCTCCAAAGCAAGGGGCATTCTTCCTACTGACCTCCAAAGGAAGGGGCATTCTTCCCACTGACCTCCAAAGCAACAGGAATTCTTTCCACCGACCATCAAATCAAGGTGAGGCATCCTTCCCACTGACCTCCAATGTAAGTGGCATTCTTTCCACTGACCACCAACGTAAGTAACTTTCTTCCCGCTGACCACCAATGTAAGGAGCATTCTTCCCAGTGATCTCCAATGTAAGGGGAGCATTTTCCTAATGACCTCTAATGTAGGGGGCAATTTTCCCATGAATTACATCAGGAGTGACCTGAGACCTGAAAAAATTTTTCTGGATTCATCTAGGCTAAAAAGTTTGATACAATCTGGAGTAAGCCTAGTTCTTTACATCGTTTTTTCGATAAAAGAATTACAGTCCATGGAGGATTTAAATACACTATAAAAGCAGAAAAGGTAAAGCTCGTCACATATTGTATGACACTTAGCACTTCAGCTTCCTATGTTATTTTTTTATTCCTTGCTGAGCATTCCAGAAAGAAACTTGTATAGTTTTTATAGACCTCAATCTGTTTGATGTGGGTTTTAGTCAATGACACAGCAGATAAGATGGACTTTTACCCACAGCAATAAAAAGATCTTTTTTTTCAATAATTAATGATATTGTACACACACTTAAAGCAAATGGACTTGTAACCCGGAAGAGGAACGGTGGTAGATACTGACTAAGCCAAATACATGAAGGGAAAGATAATTCTAACATAAAAACAAACATTTAAAACAAGAGTATAGATCCCTTCCTGAATTTAAGGGAACCTTCCAGCTATTTTAAACATTTAAAAACAAAAGCCCAGTGTAAAGCTGGTTTTACGCATACATATTTTTTTTGGTTCAGTCTATGGGCTAAATATGAGGTGGTATCAAAAAGTTTCAAGACAAGTTTTGTAACACCTCAACAGATGGCAGCACAAGACTGCACACACAGTCACAGGGAGCAGCGACCTTCATCAGTCAGTGTGCCAAAAGACATTGACTGTGTATATCGGGAGCTGTGGAACTCGTGCTAATCTGCCCACTTGCGTTATCACGTCTTCCATTTCACCTTGGACAGCAAGTTAGAACAAAGAGCAAACGTGAACTTCTGAGTGAAACTTGGCAAATTGCGGGATCTCTGCAATGTTGAGCTGGATCTTTATTTTCAGGAAAAGGGCATTTTCAGGGGTTGAGATTGTTGAAGGTCTCCCTGATCTCTTGTTGTCTTCCAGTGATGTTCTTCCGCTCTTGAAGTGCGTGTGCCACTCAAAACACCTTAAATGACCCCGTAAACTTGCCAAATCATGTCAAACATCTCCGTGGAAGATTTACCCAATTTCACAAAGAATTTCACATTCGCTCTTTGTTCAAACTCGCTGTCTATGATGAAATAGCAGACATGATAACGTCAGAATAGCACCAGTTGCACAGCTCCCGATGCCCCTTCCCTTTCCTTTGTTGGTAATTAGGTTGCCATTTTGAGCATTCTTTTTCAATTGGGTACAGGCACAAGACTGGAGGACTAAGCCAGTGGTTCCCAACCTTGGCCTTGAAGTACCCCCAACAGGTCTTTTGTGCACCTTTCTGATTTCATTTCACTTCATTACTGAAGTCTGAGCTTTGCCTTGATCAAATGCCCTCTTTCTTTTGTTGATGCTTCATTGGCCATTAAAGGCACTCTTGTTTAATAGTGCAAAGGCACAAGAATGGAGGACTTAGCCAGTGGTTCCCAACCTCAGTCTTCAAGTACCCCCAACAGGTCTTATGTGCACTTTTCTGATTTCATTTCACTCATTACTGAAGTGTGAGCTGTGCCCTGCTCAAATGCTACTTCCCTGTCATTTGATGGTACTTCAGTGGCCATTAAGGGCACTCTTATTTATTAGGGTATGAGAAAGAGAATGGAGGACTAAGCCAGTGGTTCCCAACCTTGGTCTTCAAGTACCCCCAACAGGTCTTATGTGCACTTTTCTGATTTAGTTTCCCTTTATTATTGAAGTCTGAGCTATGCTGTACTCAAATGCCCTTTCCCTTTCCTTTGTTGGTATTTCAGTGGCCATTATGAGCACTCTTATTTATTAAGAGTACAGGAATGAGAATGCAGGACTAGGCCAGTGGTTACCAACTTCAGGCCTCAAGTAGCCCCAACAAGTCATGTTTTCAGACTCTCCTTTATCTTGAATAGCTTCTTTAAAGGTCAATGGCTTGGGATTTACAACGGCTATTTTATCTAAGGGAAAGTCCCAAAACATGACCTGTTGGTGGTACTTGAGGAACGAGGTTGGGAAACACTGGTCTAAACCATGATGGGCAAGCTCCTAAATCAGAGAGGCCAAATAAGTGTTTTCCGCCAATTACCAGTCATAACAGATACCCAGCAGTATTTGTTTTAGGTAGAACTTTTATTTAAATATATCTTCATACACAGAATTCCTGGGCTCTACTAAACTCCCCTCTGCTGAGCAGAACACTCTATTGTAGGACAATTAAAGGACAACACAAGCGTAATCTCAATGTTGACACAGCACCACAAAGGAGCATTATTTTTTTATGCTGTTGGAACAAATATAACATTAATACTGGTATTGATGGCAGAAGAAAGTCTTTGCTTACAGTGAGATACAGATAAATTGTAAGTTGGTTTACACAAAACAGTAAACTGCAAAAATATCAGCAGCACAAATGTAACCAACTGTGCAGCTTTCACAAGGTTAGAAGAGCTGGTAGTCCTGATTTAGCGATGAACTTGGCTTTGGACTGAATCAAGAAGGAAGCGGTCACTCCCGCCAATGCCACTCAACCAACTGCCGGCAGAGCATTCCCAGCCCCACAGCTGCCTGTACATATATGGCCGCTTGGCCATATTATGTCAATGTCATGATGTCACAAGCATCCCCGTCCCAAGTTGGGACCAAACTCGAGCTCAGCCCTAGTCATAAGGGAAGATACATTTCCAAACACAGCGAGCATTTACCAACACTCAAACCTCTCTGTCAATAATCCTCTATTAAGACCCCACACCAGCTGATGCCTTTCTGACAGCATGACTTTAGCTAACTAAGGGCCGGTTCACACCACATGCAGTCCAGTGCTATTTTCTGCATCAAAAACTGCATGGATTGTAGGTTATATGGTTTCCAATGGTATAGTTCACACCAGCGCAGTCAGTTCCAGGTCCAGAAGAAAAAGTACAATATGCTGCATTTTTTCTGCACTGAACCGTACTAGAATGCGGTAAAACACATAAAAAATTCACCGGACCACACCTAAACGCACTAAAAATGCACTGGATAGCACAGGTCCTTATTTAAAGCGGAGTTCCACTCACTCTGTCAAAAAATAAAAGTCAGCAGCTACAAAAACTGTAGCTGCTGACTTTTAAAAAACAGCCATTTACCTGTCCCTCGGTCCCGTGGTGTGTTCCCCACAGCCCGTTTCACCGGCCGTCCTGTATTCCAGAAGGCCAGCATCTTCAGTGTGGGCACCCGGCTGTGATAGCTTGCAGCTTCACAGCCGGGTGCCCACTGCACATGTGCGAGTAGCGCTGCGCTTCATGAATGGTCCTGTAGTCTTCTGGGACCTGTCACATGTCCCAAAAGACTACAGGGAGGGAGGGAGGACAACTTCCGTGTCCAATCGCCTAGGTGATCGGACCGGAAGTGGGAGCGGGTACCTGTCAAATTCGGGTACCCGACCCCTTCCCCAATCCTTAATGGGGAGCGGGGGAGCAGTCCTTAAAGCGGAACTTCCCCTTTTGGGTGGAGATCCGCTTAAAGGTGAAGAAACAAAAATGGTAAAAAATGCACCAGAACGCATCAAATACGCACTGGAATGCATTAAAAATGCATGCGCAGAAACGCATCCAGACTGCAGGTTGCATTTTCCCAGGGCGTTTTGTGTTTTTAATTTTTTTTACACACATTTTTTGGCCTGTTTTAAAGGTGTTTTTGATGCGTTTTGCATTTTTGGGAGATATCTGTTGTCTTGCTGGAGAAATCAGTAGAAATGCATAAAAATGCAAGCACTGCATTTTTATTGCATTTCCACTGCATTTCCATTGTAGTCTATGGAACCAAAAAACCAACCTGCTGCGGGAAAATAAGTCCCTAACCCTTTCCAAAAAAATGCACTGGTGGAAAATATGTGAATGCAGGGGCGGACTGAAAAATCATTGGGCCCCCGGGCAATAGGGGATCATGGGGCCCCTGTGTCCATGCCCAAACTCAAAAAAGCCTATGAAAAAGATACCAGGGGCATCTCATGGGGCCCCCTACTGACCCCGGGCCCTCAGGCAGTGCCCAAGTTTCCAAATGGTCAGTCCGCCCCTGCGTGAATGTGACCCATAGGTAACCATGTTAAATGGACTGTAGTGCGCTTCTGCAAAACTGAAAACGCACGAAAAACTGCATAGGTGCAAACCAGGCCTAAGACTGTAAAGGCGGAAACGCACCTGCAGTTTTGCTGTCTGTATTGTGTGCTTTCATGATAAAGGATTGGTGAGCAGGGGCGGACTGACCATTTGGAAACTCGGGCACTGCCCGAGGGCCTGGAGTTAGTAGGGGGCCCCATGAGATGCCCCTGGTACCTTTTCAATTGGCTTTTTTGAGTTTGGGCAAGGACACAGGGGCCCCATGATCCCCTGGGGTCAGTAGGGGGCCCCATAAGATGCCCCTGGTACCTTTTTCATAGGCTTTTTTGAGTTTGGGCAAGGACACAGGGGCCCCATGATCCCCTGGGTTCAGTAGGGGGCCCCATGAGATGCCCCTGGTACCTTTTTCATAGGTTTTTTTGAGTTTGGGCAAGGACACAGGGGCCCCATGATCCCCTATTGCCCGGGGGCCCCATGAGTTGTCAGTCCACCCCTGTTGGTGAGACATTTGAGCCTTGGTAAGCCCTGGTTCATACCTAATGCGACATTGAAATCGTGCTACTTCACTTGAAGTATCAAGATTTCAAAGCTGCGGACCCTGCAGCCATCTGTGCCTAGTATGTATATGCGAGTTAGATTGTACGCCCCTTGAGGGTTAGGGACTGATGTGAATGTACAATATATATATGTAAAGCGCTGTGTAAACTGACAGCACTATATAAGTACCTGTAATAAATAAATAATATAATACAACATCTTCTGGCAAAGCAATAGAAAAGATTAAATGTTGCAGAGAAAGGCAAGCTGGCCAAACGTCCGCTCATGTTTATTTCACAAGAGTGCTCTACGAGCCAAACATTTGGGATCTGGTAGAATCTGCACCCCGGTGATT